TATACACATAAACACATTTACAACATATATTCCCAAAATTTTACAATGGACGTCGACGTTGATAATGAAAGTGCAGTAATACCACCGGCCGATATTGTCAAGTCCTTCTCAAGATACCAAACAGAAGCGTTCAGAGACTTACTCTACGCTTCTGAAAATTCTTTAAGAATTGATGCCTCTGAAATAAGCTTCTTGCGAAGCGTCGACCGGTCAGCTGCTAAAAGCCTAGACGCAACCGGTGATAAGATCCTGTCACTTATTAATCGATTAGTCGCGAACTCGGGCTTACTATCAGCAACAACGACAAACCGATCTGGTGATCCGCTCCTTGGTAGTGCTGAGGACATTGAAAATAAATTCAGCGACATTGTTGAGGTTATTGACTCTGCACTTGAAAAAGCCGACGTTTGTTTGGATGAGTATACTGGTCGCGCGAAACAAATTGCTGTGCCGATAACTGCGAGTACACCTATCGTCGCCCAGTTGAGCACAAATGCGGACACTCGCATTTTGTATGCGAAAAATATTTTGAGGCCGCAACTGAGGTTTCCTGATACAATTGACAATTCACGCACACCTTTTGTGCCAAAAATTAAAGAAAAACCTAATGCTATCGTGCCATTACAGACTTTTGCTGATGGAAATAGGATGGCAATCGAAGATGATGATGCGTCAGGATTTCCACATCCTTATGAGTATGAAATCAATAATTTAGAATATCCGGAGCATATGTTCAAAGTTCCCAATAATGATGACGGACAATATATGCCTGGACCAATGGATACCGCTCATATCTTCATTACCAAAGAAGAAGAGTTGACCGCTCTCTGTGATAAACTGAACACTGTGCAAGAAATCGCGATTGATCTTGAACATCACGACTATCGATCCTTTCAAGGATTCACTTGTTTAATTCAGATAAGCACTCGTGACCAAGACTATATACTCGATGCTTTCACTCTTAGACACGCAATGCATGCTCTTAATCATCCTTTTACTAATCCAAATATAGTAAAAGTATTCCACGGTGCTAATTCTGATATTCAATGGCTACAAAAGGATTTCGGGGTCTATGTAGTCAATCTCTTCGACACTTTTCATGCTTCAAATGTTTTGGCTCTTCCACAACACTCTTATGCTTTCCTAGTGAAAAATTATTGCGGTATAGAAATCGACAAGCGATTTCAATTGGCAGATTGGCGAATGCGACCACTCCCAATAGAAATGCTCAATTATGCTCGCACCGATACCCACTATTTGCTTTACATATATGATCGCATGAGGAAAGAACTATTGCAAAAATCTCCTAATCTTTTACAAGTGACATTGGATCGTTCTCGCGAGGTGTCTTTGTTGAAATATGAAAAAGATAGATCCGATCCAGAGACTGGGGAAGGTAATGGCGGATGGAAAAATGATCTCAGCAAATGTAATCGGCATTTCAATAATCAACAATTAGCTGTTTTTAAAGTCCTTCATGCATGGCGGGACACTAGAGCGCGCGAAGAGGACGAAAGTGTTCGTTATGTGCTGCCAAATAATATGCTGTTTGAGCTTGCACAGCGAATGCCCATTGAAACATCTGGTGTAATTAGTTGTTGCAATCCTACTCCAACATTGGTACGGATGCACGCAATTGATCTAGCATTGCTTATTGAAAGAACTAAAAAAGAGGCCGAAATTTCATCAAACAAACCGATGGAAACAACAAAGACATTATATAACAACGCTTCTGAAATTGTACCAGTTGAAAAAAGTTTAGGGGACATTACAACACAAATAGTCAATGAATTTGAGTTATGTGAAAACGATGCTGCTCGACTTCTAGCAAAAACATCGAAATTATTTGGAAAAGAGCTTGATGAAATCACGGAAATTGATCCTAAATCATTTCAAATTGTGATGAGACTTTTAGAAAGTATGGAAGTCTTCGCTTCAATCCCGAAAATTTTAAACATAGAGCAATATCAGATTCAACAGCAACCTCCTCATTTGTTTGTTCCGGCAGAATTACGTAAAACAAAAGGAAAAGAGCGTGAAGTAGTGGATAATTCGTCAATAAACAATAACGTCACCTTACATGATCAGGAAGAAGATATCGATCAAAATCCAAACCAACGTAAACCCAAATTTTCCAAGGGAAAAGAGAGAGAAGTTAATATTTTCTCCTCGAGTAATAACATTCACTCTAAGGAGGTTATAGAAATCATGGATGACGACGAAGTTTCAATACCCATGGACTTGGAGAACAATGAACATATTGCTGAAATTAAAAATGAATCCGACTTGAGAAAACCTACCTTAATGCAAAAAGGTGACAATTACATTTATACCGGAGAATCAATTAGACAGATGACCTCCAAAAAACGAGGTCGAGGTGGTAAAAATAAGGGTAAGAAGAAAGAATCGAATGAAGGTCTTGCTGAATCATCTTCAAGAAATTCGTTATTTCAGGAAATTCATGTCCCTTCAATAGTCGAAAGTGCGCAAGCTCAAAAAATGGACAAAAAATCAGAAAAGAACTCGCAAGAAATACGCGATGGCAAAGATGATGGCCAATTATTGGAGTCTGATTCTCCAAAGAAAACAAGGGGAATTTTACCTTCATCAACTTCCGGTAATTCGACACTTCCCTTGCATTTAAACACATCAATGAGAGATGTAGATGAATTGTTACAGAACACGATCTTTGAATTAAATAAACATGAAGATGATCTAATAGCTGATCCATCATACGATCCAGCCTTAGAAAATCCGTCAAAACATCTAGTCATAGAAGATCCGGATAAACTAATGCAAGAAATGCGAGAGGCAGGAGTTAGTATTGGACCAAGTGGCAGCGCTCAAGTTATGAATAATAACGTGAGGAAACAAAGAAAAGCTGCTCAAGTTGCTCGAATGAAGATATATCTGAGGTATCATAAGCCAGATTCTTCACCTCCACTCCCATCTACTTCCTCAAGAAAAAAGAAAAAACATAAATTATTCGATGTACCGTTTTCACAAATGAATCTCGAGAGTCATGAGGATTTGAATAACAGTAGCACAATTGTTCATCAGGATAAGAGTGATTACAACGACGTCAACAAAATTCTTCCTCCAAAGCCCAAAAAAGTAAAAAAGAAGAAATCCAAAGGTGAAAAACCCAAGCTTGAAACTTCCAAAAAAGAGAAGAAACGTGTTGCTGATGCTCGATTTTGGGCTCAATTTGAAGCAACATTCAATGGTCAAACATCATTACCAACTCAAAGTCATACCGGGCAATTACATACAGCAATCCCTATTAGCAATGATAATAACGCATTTTCATTAAATTCCCGGAGTGCACCCGTTCTTAGCAGCACATCAACCACCACAACAAATAATATCACGAATATTCAAGCGCCATTGCTTTATTATCCACCAAATCTAAATATGAACCTCTCAAATAGCAATCAATTTGGTTTTCCGATCACATCTTTTGGGACTATTGATCATACTGCTCTTCCCTCCAATATTCCGACCATGCAGAATACTAATTCGATAATGGTTGCCAGTTCAAGAAATAATTCAGATAAACCCCGGCTAAGCTATCCACCAATGCCGGTACCAACAAGTCAAGCAAGTAGCAGCAATAATAATAATAATAATGATAATAATAATAATAATAACAACAACAACAACAACGTCAATAGTGATGCAGTTACTAAGACTGAGCATCAATCACAGTCTAATAATTTGTTCAACAATCCGCCACACCAACCACAATTACCGCCTCCTAGAACTTCTATTGGACTTCCGTATAATTCTAATAGCCTTGGTGGTATACCTCAGTCAACAAGTCCGAATATTGGTCACTCTTCTTCAGCAGCCTATCTAGGAAATCGTAGTATGACATTTGGTTTTCCACCACCTTCAGCTTCATTAAACACAAACAGCAACCACCACCACAACAATAATATTGCAACTAGTAATGATAACAATAATAACAACTACACTAACACAAATGGAGAACGATGTATAATACAATGATGAAGTTGCTGTTGGTTAAACGTTATTAGTTTTTTTTTTTTAAGTTGGGATCAATGATACTACTTCCTCGAGCATATTAACTTCTAGAAAATTATGCTTATTGGAACAGTTCATTAAAATATAATGTACATATAAACCTTTTTATACGGTCATTATTTATATGTACCGTATTAGTTTAACATGTATGATAATGATTCCCTTTTATCAAAAATTATTTACTTTACTTTTTCCATTCATAATTCAAAATCAAAAATTTACTCTCTCTGGCTTCTTAAACTAATTATTCCCTTTTTTATATGCCATACAAACGTTCACACAAAGATCAGGACAAATTTGCTTAAATGTTTATGTTAGATAAATTATCGATTTGGCGCTAAAAGCAAAACATTATGGCGGAACGAATTACTCAATCGTTCGATGCTGTAACTCGACTGCGAATCGTTAATTAAAGTAAAGCAAGGGTGTAATAATTTGTCCTTTATGATTATTATGATGATGATGATGATTATTATTATTATTATTATTTATATGGTGATGATCGTAACGTCTCTTTTCTTTCTCTTTTGATTTATTTTCCAGAATATCACATATATTTATAAAAGAAAAAAACAAAACATGAATTTGAATAACTATACAAAACTATATAATTATCTTAATATGTTAATAATATCTGATAAATTCTCAAAAGAAAAATGAAAATAGCTACTGACAGAATTAAAGAAATATTTTATATAGAATCATAAACTATATAAAAGAAATAGATAGGATATTAATCATCCATTATTAGTTATAAAATTGAGTCAATTCTTTATAATAATTATTTAGATATTATCTCTAGATATTTCAGAATTAAAACTATCTATAATTGAATAATGAGAAATTATTATTGGTCTCAGATATATAAAGATATTGATACATATATTAAAGTCTGTAATATATATTAATAAAAAAGATAATTATACAAGAATAATAGAATAATACCTATTCAAGTAAATATATCTTTTGAAAAAATCAGAATTGACTTGATAGGATCTTTCCTAGTGACCAGTAATGAAAATTACTATATTATAATTACTATTGATTATCTAATTAAATAGACTAAAGCAAGATTAATTACTAATACTTTCACAAATACAATCATTCTCTTTCTCTATGAAGATATAATAATGAGATATAGATTTCTAAAAGAAATACTTAGTGATAGAGAAATTATATTTATTAATAAAATAATCAAGAAGTTATTAGATAAATACCAAATCAAACATAAACTTTCTATATCTTATCATTCTCAAACTAATAAACTAGTTGAAAGATTAAATCAAATTCTATATACTTCATTATCAAAGTATGTATAACTTTACAAGAAAGATTAGAACTATTATCTATCTTTAGTTTTATTTATTTATAGAATAATGAAGCAAAATATAACTTTATTTGAATCTTTTCAATTAATATATGATTAATAAGTAATTATATCATTAGATATTAAATTAAAAGACTTTGATAATCTTATTTTTGAAGAAGCTCTTGTCAAAAAAATATGTGAACTAATTAATAAATTAGAAACTACATAAGAACTAGCTCTTAATAATATCCAAAAGAAATAGTTAAAATAAAAAGAATAGTATGACAAGAAATAAAAGATAATAGTTTTTCAGATAGAATAGAAAATATTAATGAAATAAATAGAAACTTAATATTAGTATCATGATAAATTTAGTAAAAAATAAAAAGAACTATTCTACATACATGAAATATATGATAAAGAAGTATATAAACTTAGAAATAAAGATGAAAGAGTTTTAAAGAATTTATATAATAATAATCATTTAAAATTGTATATTGAGTTTAATAATTTAAAACTAATAATTTTTATCAATAATTAAAAAGATTTACAAAATAAATCTCTTAAAGCCAGAGATTCTATAATCAATCATCTATTTGTATGATATAGTAAATATAATATAGTATATAGTATAGTTACAGCACATGACATAGTAATTATCAATTACTATGGTGCAGATCACTTATAGCTGTCAAAATTTTAGTTAATTTTGAGATCTTATAACTTTATACATAATGATAAAATAATAATTTAACACCATATTTATAATAGAATGGTCATTTGAATTTCATATTTATAGTTTCAAATTTTATATTTATTAAAATTATTTTGTGCTATAAGATTTTAAAAATCAGAAGTTTTATTAATAAAATTAAAATTT